TCGTTACCCCGGGATCCAAAGTTTATGGCACTCTTTCTGGCTCCCAGGTGGTTGAATATGCTGGTAGAAACATCGGCCACCACATACACACCATCTGTCTCTGTAATTCTCATTACTCCCCTTTGGAAGGAAACTCCTGCAAACTCCCAGCAGCTTTGAGGCTAAATAAGCTGTCACACACTGTGGCTGGCTTGCAGTAATGAAACATATTGGGTGAGCAACAGACTTACTGACTAATTCATTGGGTTCTTACTTTGCTCTCTTTCTCTTGTTTCAACTTTTTACTTATAAAAGGCCTATGCTGACAGTTTGTCAGATTGGCCTTGTATTCATTTTGTTAAATATCTAAGCATTTATATCAAAATAATTCTGTAAGTCTTGGAGATAATTGGCTGATGTGAGGTGACAAATGTAGTAGACCTAAATTTATTAGTTATGCATTTTAATAAATTTATGAGAATTGATACCCAATTATGAATTAAAATTCATAAACTCAAAATTTCCTCGTTAAGGGCACCACCGGAGTTGTTATAATCCTAGAGTCTCCGGACCTCTAGGTAGTTTTGAATAATTATACAATTATTACTAGTGATCAGTTAGTTAATAATCGCTTAAATCAGTCAGTCAGTCTCATATCTAAAGGGTCAATTCTCTTGGCAGGAACTATAAATAGGCAACACACACAGCTCTTGATTATATTACAGTGAATTTATTCTCTAACTAAGGTGATAAAAAGATGGTTGGATACAGGGAACATAAACATTTGCTGAACAATGAGCCTGGAGGTTCGATTGTGGGAAGCATTTGACTCATACGGCATAGAAGAGCTAATTAAAGTAAACTAATGCTATAATTTAGGAGTTAAAATGGACATCTGATCACAGGACGTGTGTTAGGTCTTACTGCTTGTCGACAGCCTGCTTTTGGCCTGTTGCACGGGTCCCACGCTAGCTGCCGATCCTGGCTTTTTGCAAGGATTCTTCGGGGTTCTCCGTGTCTGATTGAAAACGCCTCCTCCGTCTGGCAATTCTGCTGTTTGCAGGTTTCCTTCGTTGTAGCTGGCGAGACCACGTGGCTTGGTCTGACCTCGGTGAAGTTGGCTCGACGAAAAAGGCTTAAAATGGAACTTGGTCGTTCCTGAATTAGTCCAGTGTAACTTAACGAACTGATAACTTTAACAAACAAAAGAAATAAAGAAAATAAAACAAACTGAAGGCAGATCGATGTCGCTGCACTTCAGGTGTGTAGCTTCAGGCGAACAAGGGCCTGTTTGTTTCGCTGGCCGAGTCTGGGCGTTGCCTGGCGAGGCACGCTGCTCGTGCCGAAGCGTCCAGAGGGTCGAGCAGAGTGGAAGAGCCAACAGCGAAGAAGAGAAGAGAGCGAAGCGAGGTCGCGTGTCGCTCTTTTGTTGCCTGGGGCGTGGTTCCCCAGGGGGCGTCTCAGGTTTCCCAAGGGACTGCCTTTCCAAACTTAATGTCTAAAGAAAAGAAATCTATTTGCACGTATTATAATCAAACATTTTCCACAATCGAACCTCAATGGTTGAACGGTTGTACTGTTCTAAGCATTTGGTAACAGGAAACAATTGTCACATTATTGGTCAGGATATTTATACATTTAACGGCATTTCCGATGAGGGCATGTAATACTCATTTCGTCCACTTGGGGGAGCTCAGGTTACATGAGGAAAGCTTGGATTACATTAGATGAAGGAGTGTCTTGCTGAAAATAAAAACACTGCACAAGTAACTTCTTTTCAGCACTAATAAACAACAGATAGCAACAACAGTTAACATAACTACTCAGATAGAGGCAAACGTAATCAGGTAACTAAAGATTTAATTAAACTTTGAGTCTTTGGAGATTGCAGTCCAGTTCAGTGTCTGGACCATGTCACACCTAGGTGAGACAAGGAGTATCCCTTTGATGTGGTAATAAAACAAAGAATAAGGTCAGTTGCCACGGAAACGTGTGTGGGGGCCAGTTTTGATAGGCTGTTCAGGGAGATGCCAATGGCTGGTTCGTATCCCTTTGTCAGTTTAACAGTCAGGCCCCGCGTTATCAGCTTCGGAATCAAAAAGGTGCCAGTTTTATGGTCGGGATAGCACTTAGAGAAAGCAACTTTGACCCCTCCCCTTCTTCTCTGGGGAGGAGAAAGGAATTTAGGGTAGCTCCAAATTTATTCAATATAAAATGCACAAATCCACACTGTTGTTCACTACACAAATGAGAACAAGAGGACATGTGCGGCTCAAAGGTCTAGATTCTTTTAGGGCACATTTAAAGAAATGGTAAATATACTAAATACACTTATTTGCTGTCATTTCTGTACACAAATATGAAGCTACAGCCAGGTGACGCTTAGCTTAGCATAAAGAATGGTAACAGCTAGCATGGCTCTAGCCAGAGATAACAAAATTCATCTATTAGCACCTCCAAACCTCATTAACATTTGATACCTTGTTTATTCAAAAAAATACAAATACAAAACAGGGGCTTAGGTGCCAGACTATTTCTTGGCAGGGTGCAGTGACTTACTGGAGTCTCTGCTAGTTGCCTGGCAATTTCCCAGTAATGACAAGACTCCAGCACGTCACAGCTCCCAGGCAAGAAATAGTCCCACAAATACCCCCTTACAAAAAGTGATATGAATTCCTTAGTAATATTTAGAAGTGCAGGTAGATGGATTGTTTTTCGACCTTTTCCCAAGTCCGCCTAGCTGTTTCAGTCTGCTAAGCTAAGATAACTATCTCTCGGCTGTAACTTCATATTTTCAGACAGGTGGTATTGATCTTCTCATCTAACTCTCAGCAAGAAAGCATATTTAGTAATTAGTACAATTAAGCCACTGCCACTGGGCTTTTAGCTGATGTTCTTTTACAACAGCTGATTTGGTTTAAATTCACACTCACACAAAGAGCAAATTCCCAAAGCATACAAACATTTTCAAAGTACTGAGGACTTTTGAGAATTTAAGCTCTATCAGTTGCTGGAAAAGAACATCAGCTAAAAGCCCAGTGGCAATGGCTTAATTGTACTAATTACTACAAATTAATACGATGCCATCTATCTACAAAGAGGATGCAAACTGTGTCAGTGCAAAATTTTGTGTAATTACAGACTTATAAAGGTTGTAGAAGTAATTAGGTTATGGAAATACTGAAAGTAACACATTACGGTGAAAGTAAAATGTGAAAATGTCTTGATACTGGCTGCACAAGACTTCAATTTTCAGATGTTTCACCATGGAATTTATAATATGTTCTTTTTATGTAAATGAAATATGAGTATCAAGGTAAAAGAAGTGAAGAGCCAGAAGTAGTTACTTACATTAAAGTGGTGCACTGAAGAAGTGTCACATTCTCTTCAGGCTGTAATTGTGCAGGAGTTCTCTCAGAGAGCTGGTGTTATCTGCATTTTCTACATGCACCACTGAATGCCGTAATTATTTCTATCATATTTCAGGACCCTGTGCAGCACTCAAACGTGGAGAGGTATCGCTTCACCTGAACACCTTTGCTAGTCAATCAGACATGCACGTCACACAGGCAAATTACATGAATGCATTTACAAAAGCACACACATAGTGCACAAGAATGCATGCATACGCTGCAACCGTAAAATCTGCCCACTGCAACCTAACCTAGTTTTCGCCAACATCACCTGTATTGTTGTATCTTTCAGTCAGATATTTCACACTAGTGTACGCTCAGTATCACTGCTGATCATGCTCCAAAGCATGCCAGGCAGCCATTGGTTTCACTTCATGACAGTATGGTATGATAATTAATTAGCAGAGGCTGCTTGAAATTAGTAACCCAATTGTCCTTCAGCAGCTGAAATCTGAGCGTGCTGCAGGGGAGCACATATTCCTGACAAACAGTGACAAATGAATACATTAACAAATCACCATTGACTTAACCCCTGCCCCAATTCAGCAATTGTCCAATTAGCAACATTAACTAGGTACAGCAGGCATGTCAATGTTGGGATTTTTGCACATGATGAAGTGGTGTGCATGGAGCTGTAGTAACAGCAATACTTGAGCAATAAATTTAACAGTATACAGTACCTGTCTATGAGCATTACTTTTAAGGCAAACAAGCAACTACATTATTATGTGGGGTTACAGGTTACAATAGAAAAGACCCATTCACAACTAGCAAATCCACTGTTTAGTAACTTCGCACAGAGTGGAAACCGGTCCTGATGCTATTAGTGTTTAGGCTAACGTTAGCAGCTCTGTCCTGCTCTTGTTGGATTTGTGGACTTATACCAGAGACGTTTTGCTTATACTCCAGCAACCCCAGCCAAACTCATTAGTGCCTTACTGTATGTTTCCCAAACACATTCCTAATCCCTCAAATTAATGCCTTCTCTTTTTTAAGAGAAATGTACTGATATTCCTTATCATACTTGTAATACTACTATGTTTGCTCTCCACTGCAAAACAAGCAGAATGCTGTTTCTTTATTTCAATGTTTTCTATATATCATCAACTGGTGAGGATGCTAACTTTTTGCTTGGACCACTTTAACAGGGTTGCTACTTTAAAGTAAAACAGCTGGAAACTGTTAAACGTCAGCTGGAGATGGCGATTTCAACCCTTTTGTTGAGCTAATGCTATCTTAATTAGCAAATTAGGTATAGCAGATTAAAAATATTGACAATTGCCGTTCAGCCAGGATAAGCGACACTGACTCGTCAAAATCAAAGACCTGTACCAAGGTTCAAGGTTCTATCGACGCAGAAATAAATGATCATTTTGATCGCGGCGCGAGAATGAAAGCTCAGCAGGTGAGATAATCTTGTAATCAAGAGGGCCAGGCTTTGCGAACAGTCAATTATTTGATAAAAAGATTGAGTATGTGAAAACTAAACATGATGAGTCTTTAAGAGATTTGAGCCAAGAAACCTTTGTTTCTATATAACCTAGATATTATAGTGCATTTGCAGATTGAACACAAAATGACCACTATTTATTACCTCTTTTTCATCTACACACTTTCTCCCCCACCATCACTCTAGACAAACTGGGTTACTCCCTTCAGATACTGCAAGTAGGACCTTTTAAAGCACTTTACAGACTGAACTGCTGCTCTAAACCAGACCAGACAATGCATTCCCTCCGGGAGAGGAGAGGGCCACCGAGACAAAACCTTTCCAGTTAGAAGCGTCAAGCTGCTGACCTGATGTGGATCTCATATCTCGAAAGCATCTCCCCCGGCTACAAATATATGTGTGTGTACTTTTCCATTTGATTTGGTGTCAGCGGTCAGGGACGATAATGGGGTAAACATCGCATAGCTCACCGAGTGTCTGGCCAACTGGAAAAAATAACTTTTTGGAAAGTTTGCTGTTAAGTATTTGAGTGGAAGGAGGGGAGGTGTGGAAGCCTACATTTCTGTGTATACAGAATGAATAACTGTGTGTATGTGTGTGTCATGCTGTAACATTAAGCTCCAAGGGAGATAAAAGCAGATGATCGTCAGTTTCTCTTCCTTTTGCTTTGTGCTCCATTAGATGAAGTGATCAGTGTGGCACCACGCAGTGATAAAGAAAAGAGGAAGACGACGACACAAAAGGCATCACAGCAGCAGCAGAACAGAACTTTGTCGCCATTATATGAAAACACATTGTACATGTTTGAGCTATTAGAGACAACTGATGGCTAACTGGCGACAATCAAACCACTTTAACATCAGATTATCACATCAGACCTTCCGGGATTGAATAGAGTGAAATACCACCAAAGGAATTGCAGTGCTGGTTTCAAGATTAAACTGAGAGGTTACAAGAAATCTTCGCAGGACAGGACTACAGAAAGAAACATTCCACTATGCGAAATTATGCTTATTTTTATAATTTTTTAAAAATTTTTACTTTTGATTTTTGAGAATTACTGAATCATTTTATCTCTTTAGTCTTCACTCCATGCCCAAACTGGTCATAGTCTATAGACATGTGCAACTGGCAAGGATGGGTCACCAGAAATTATTACTTCATTTTATCCTGATCCTGCAGCAAAACTAGCTGCCCCCAGATCTAGACTTAAAAGTAAAGAAGATTGTGCATCGGCTGTCAGGGTCCCTAAACTCTGGCTCAGCCACCATGTTTATTGCAGTCATTTTCTATCTGTACCCTTGTTGTTTTTGATTCCTTTTCATTAATTTGGGACATTTTGTGTTGATCAAAACACTTTTCATTTGTATTCTGCGTCTTGTAGTCCTTCCTTTTACTTCTATTAAGCACTTTGTTACTCTGTTTTGAAAACTGCAGTTCAAAAAAGGTTAGTATTATTAATACTGGTTGAATAATATATTTTCTAGATGTTGTCATGCTGAATAAATTCAGTTTTATATTGTCTCTATTTTCTGTCTTTCTTATGTCTTTTGTTGTAAAGCACTTTGTGACACCTAGAAAGCTGATAAATAAAATGCACTTTACTTGCTTCCAAATGACTTTGCTTGATGAGCAGTTTATCACAATGCAGCATACGCCACACAGTAATCCTTATTTTGGGAAAGAACTATGTCATTTCATACTAATTTTAGGGAAAATAGGAATTCCTTTGAAAGAATGGCTCAATAACAATCCATGTAAATTCTGTAAGAAAGTATTCAGTAAAGTATTATTCATTTATTACCAGAAACTTTAATCTTCCCATATGTTGAATTGTATGCTTGCTTGTTGACACATTTCACATTTTTGCATGCTCAGATAACCTGCTGGGCACTAAAAGACTTTATTTAGAAACTGGAAAAGGAGAGGTCTACCAAATGATCTTTATTTCCCTTGTAATTCATACCAAATTACAAAGGTCTTCCTAAGAAAAAAAACAGGAAATGGTGCATCATTACCAACCTCGTAAATCTGATCTTTGGGGAGTTAAATTTAATTTAGGATAATAGATTATCTCATCTGTAAGTTAAGAACATTCTTCTCCTTTGGTCTTATGAAAATCAAAATGAAAAAGAGGAGGAAACTTTTGTTTTTACAGTGAAGCACATCTTTAACTCATTTATACATGTGAAGTAATTCCACCACATCAAATTGTCCTGATGAGTCTATCTGAGCTTCCTTCTCCACCCTCACAGCTTTGTGGCTCTGTGTACAGCACATAGAGCATCTCTGGCAGGGATGTGATGTGTTCAGGCTGCTATGCTGGGGGACCAGAGCAGCCTTTAGTGCCTAACGACCTGTCTGTATGGCAGAGATTTACAGACAAAAGTAGAGCCACAGCAGGGGACCTGCTGCCGCAATTCATCTTCATTTTAATTGGGAACATTTTGTGTTGCTCCCTCCTCCACATTCATAAACAGCTTCTCAAAAAGTCATTATTGCACAAGATGCTGTCCAAGCCGGGTGTTTCTGAACAGAGAACACACCAGAAATGACACTTTTCTGCTTGTTCATCTTCTTATTTGATATCTATTCCTCCTTGTCTTTTTCACCATTATCGTCTTTACCATCGTTTTTCTTATCATCACATTGTTGTCTGCAGCTGAACCTATAGCTGAGATCTCCAACAATGACAAACAATAATCCTATAAAAGCAACAGTTATTGATGAACAGAGGTAAACAACAACATTACTTTGGATTTTATTACTGAGTACAAAACTATTGTTAATGCTGCTTTTTGAAATGGTTTCAAGTCCTGACCCACACGCAGCCTTTTTAGACCAGGTGAAGATCCTATAGGATTTATTGATGCACAGCATTCAGACAGACCCGTTCCCCCTCTGAGTTGAGCGATGTGTGTGAAACAGCACAAAGTGAGTGAGATTCGGGCTACAAAGGGACAGCTGCCAATGCAAAAGCTAGAGTTGTTTTGGGAAACCGAATGGTGATTCACGCTGGCAAATTGATTCATTTCTTCTCCTGATAAGCACCTTTTTTTCTTTGTACCCATACGCTGCAATGGTGTTGAAAAGACCCGTTGAAAAACATGTCTGCCTTGCCACACTGAAAAGGTACAGGGTGGGTACACAATTACGTTATATCTTACAATATACAGTGATACAGTCCAATTCAACATCAAAACAACAATCTTCAACAATCACATGCTGTTAAATTTGCACCTCTCTGAAGTCTCACTTTGCTGCAGGCCCCTATATTAGGTTTCATTGTGTTCTACAGGTGTTTACATTATTGCAGCTATTTTTGCAATGCTTATCTTGACAGGTTATTTGTTGGGATTTCAAATGCAGTAGAATCTGTGTGTTCATCTGTATACGTGGCGCATATGTTTGATAAGTGCGCAGCAGGTGTGTCTCTGCTTTGAGGAACACTGGTGGAAATGGAAAAGGTTTGACCGGCTCTTATCAGCAACAGGCAGTCCATAACAACAAACCAGGCAGCAAAATAGGTTTTTAAAAAGCCCACCGGTTAACCTGCGCTGCACGTCTCTGCTCTGTCTCTGCTCAGGAGATCACACAAGCTGCTGGACTTCTTACCTGTCGTCACTCAGCACCCACGGAAGCTGAGCACATGTATGCTCGGATTCAGCCTAGATTAGCGGGGGGCTGATCAGAGCAGAAGCAGCGGTGGTATCTCAGGAAGTAGCTGCATGTGGGAATGTTGTCTGAGATTTACATAAACAAATCCCTCATTATCAGCAAAGGCCACCAAGGCCCGGCTTCCCACCTGTTGTCAAATCCCCTCATCTTCTGCAGCCAATTTTTGGGAGACTCGCACACACAGTCCTGGAGGAATCAATCATCTTAAATGTCAGCCATGCAAATTGGGTCTGTCCCAAACTGGAGCCCATTCTGTGAGCGTATGCAGAGGTTTCCAATCAGTCATGTTGGCTTCTTCTAGGCAGAGACCTAATATTTTTCTTTTTCAAACTCAGAACAACATTACAAACCTTACTTTAGAGCTGGGATAGGCAGTAGTGACATAGTGTGTTCTCTTTAAAATCCTAACAGCAACCAATAAATCAAATGCTCTGACAAAATAACTTTTGTTTTTTGCATATGCCTCAGATTCATTTCCTGCCAGAGATCGGTCTGCCTGCTTCATTCAGAGTTTGCTTTTGGGTCTTCAGGATCGCTAAGCATTAACACCAAATTTCATGTGCTCACTGCACAGCTTCTAACGTTACGTGTGTGAGGGGAGGCTTCTGTGCTTTCAACCCATTCTGTCCCTCGATGGTCTCGGGACACATTCAACAGCAATTCACTTCTCACTAACTGCAGCAGCTAACTTAGTGAAAGCTGCTTCATTTCTAAATATAGGAATAGTCCTTGTAGAAGCGATCATGACATTGTGGCTAAGTGTTTTCTGTTTCCTACCCACATGCTGTGCACTCATCCTTGATTTGGTAGGTCAGCAGGTCAGCGGGAAACCTGTCCATTGTTTACAGGCCGCATTCACATCATATTGTTCAGACCGTAAATGTGCAGCTGAATGAGAAAAATCATTTGCACCATCATCATTCACTGGCAGTTTACATCTAAATAAAACCCAATATCAATATATATATAACTAATTTAAATAGTACAATGCATTTCTTGTTTAGCTTATTTATCTGGTGTTATCTAATGTGTGTGTGTGTGTGTGTGTGTGTGTGTGTGTGTGTGTGTGTGTGTGTGTGAATCTCCCAGACAGTGATGGGGCCACAGCAGTTCTTCTGTCTCAGTTTCACAGCTCTGTCAGCAGTGAAGCTGCATTGTTATTGCTGTCTTATCCACCTTCAGCCAGCATCACTGCAGCACCAAGAAAAAACTTTTTTAAAAAACACTGATTAAAACAAACAAAGCCAGCAGTGGAGGTAGCAACTTCAACAATGTCTCAACACTTCTATGTCAGAATAACAGGAGCTTTTCCTGTTTAATCCCACTCTGCCAAAACTGTGTGAACGCAGCATTAGTGTCCTCTGCAGGACAGAGGATTGGTATTCACTTGTCTTACTTTAGTTTTATGTATCAGAGTTTGTTTGTATCAGTGTTTTTTTATTAAAAAAAAAAAAAAGCATTTTCATGGTGCTGCAGTGATGCTGGCTGAAGGGGGATAAGACCGCAATAACAATGCAGCTTCACTGCTGACAGAGCTGTAAAACTGAGACAGAAGGACTGCTGTGGCCCGGTCGCTGTCTGGGAGGTACACACACACATACACACACACATACACACACACATACACACAGCTGCAGACATACTGACACATACATTCTTGTAAGCACAGATGCACAAAAAAATTGCACATCCAGACACAACCTCACCACACACACACTATCTCTCTCTATCTCACACACTCACAAACACACACTTGAGAATGTCAACTCGTCTGGAAGAGATTGACAGTGACCAGGGCTACAGGATCACACTCTCACGCTCCCTTGGCGTGGGACTCTGACAGCCACTACCAGCCACAGTGTGTGGGCATATGTTCATTTGTGTGTGTTACAGTGAAACTACTCAGGGACATGCTTTACCATCTGTCTATCTGTATATTTGTTGTGTAAATGTGTGGCATGTGGCATAGCGTACTTTTGCTGTCAGCGGATGATCACAGTGACTTGAATTCCGGCTCTGTGACTGAATTTTGTTTGGAGAAGCGATTTGTCACTCACTATTGAGGAACTACTGTACTCCTGCCAATAGGATGGAGGAAAAAGACAGCTTAAACAACTATAATCTGACTGTGTAAAGCCTGAACTGCTCTCAACTGTCAAATCTTCATTTTAAGACTCTGAACATGGTGAAAGGCTTCTCCTTAATAAATGTGACAGCTGTTTTTACTGAGGAATTCTCAGTTTGCACATCAGGAACACACACATGATGGTTTATGGAAATGAGTACGGTGTGAAAAAATCCCATGTGTCAATCCTTTTTGATGTTTTGAACTGCGAGTCACTGCGAGTGTGCAATTGCAGCCTGTGAGACCATATTTGTCTTGGTGACAGAGCCTCACGGAAGAGAAAACACATCACAGAGGCAAACAAGGAGACTGTCTCTGGCCATATCTGCCAGGAAAGTCAAACAAAAGCAAGCAGAGGGTGTGTGTATGTATGTTCAAAAGTTTGTTTTTAATATTACAGTAACTACAAAATAAAATATTTGCCCACTTCCTCCACCTGAGGCTACACAAAATGATTCACTGTCACTGTATTAGAGGTCTCCCAATGCCTGAAAGTAGCAAACACACTCTCTAGTCAGCTTATGTGCTCTTGGTAAACAATGTAAAGAAATACAGCATTTAAAAACCAATAAAAGTTATAGTAGTCATCAGTAAATGTACAGTAAAACTACACATGTGTATATACAAGAAAATATACGAACCATATCTGAATGCAAAGTGTAGCGGTATGAGATCAAAGATCAAGATGTTAACTTCCCATTAAGGTTAGTTAATTCAATGAATT